GACCAGGAACCATGGGAACAAATGTTTGGAAAGGAAATACTTACAAAAATGTATTAAAAAGGCTGGGGGGGATAGTGGTAATAGATTTGGTGGACGAGGAAGAAAAATGGAATCATTGATTTGTTGTGTGGTTCTCATTCCATGGACCTGCCTTTGCGCCAGACTACCATTTATTTTATTATTACCTTGTCAGCCCCATGATTATTCCTAAGAACGCAGTCTCCCTTGTGCATCCTGCAACACTCGGCCTACCCGTATCGGTTAATATAAAGAGAGTCGGCCGTTTAAATGTGAGCCCGCCGCGTCCGATGCTCGTTTGGCTCGTTCACGCTTTTATGATTAATTGTCCGAGGTCCTCGTGTCGAATTGTTACATTATGCTTTCCAACATCCTCGCACTACTTAAATTTATCGCGTTCAAGCCTCGAGAGATTATTTCCATGATGTATAATGATTGAGATTAATTCTTCCATGACAATAGTAAAGGATAGAGTTAATGCAAATGAGATGCAATAAGTGAGAACAATTGCAATAGTATATTATTATAAATGGCATTAAATGTTCAATGAAAGTCAATTAATCCTATATATATATAATTATAAATTATAGTTCCTTAAATACATGATTAAGGTTAGATATAGAATGAGTATCTTTATAATGATGCACCTAATTGTAATTATCTATTACGAGTTCTTCCAATTACTATCCCATAATTATATATAACTTAAGTGAACTAGTGTTAGCAAAATATTTCTTCTGAAGGAATTTCTTCTGTTCACCTACGCAATCACATTAACCAATACCATAAAGTCTGAACAAAAAAAAGTAGACGCAAGAGAGAACATCAATCATGAGAAAGAAAAGAAGAATTACACGCATTGGAAATAGATAATTAAATCACGGTGAAATAAAAAGCATTTAGGTCAAAAGGTCATCGAATCAACTTGCTGATTTTAATTATACTTCAGATATTTAAAATCGATTTGGCAACATTGATGGTATGCATAAATCATCATCAAAATGCATATATCTCTATTTTGTAGGCTTAAGAAACTGAGGACCATTAAAAGATTATCAAAAAAAAATGATATTATTAATAAGGGGGTGAAAATTTAGGATAGCATATGTTCAATTCCGCATTATAAAAAACTGAATATAAAGGAAAATAGACCAAAGTATTTGATAAAGTATTAGGGGTTGTCTACCTTAATAAAAACATTTTTTTTTAAAAAAATTAAGCTTTTCTATAAGCTCAACAATAAAACTTAATGAAAATTATTTAATTTCGAAGGAGCATGATCATTATATGGTCATAATAATATAAAGACTATATCATTCATTGTACAAATACAAATCAAAGTTCAAAAGTTACTAAAGCCAATAATAAATAATTTGACAATTACTAAATAAATTTAATTAAACTATATCTAATGCGTGTATATTAATCAACGATTAAAATGAACACAGCTGACTAATATAATTTAATTCTCTGGTGTAATTATTTAATATTAAATTATCGATTGTTTGTTAACTGACTGTGTAATCCAATGTACAAATATAATTCAGGGTTCATAAGTTACTAGAAATAAAATAAGTTTATTTTGATTATAGCCGATGAACGAATGTGTATATGTACATGATCTACTTTATGATATAAAGAACACTTAGGCTGATTGATATATCTTAATACTCCGGTGTAATTATATAATATTCAATTACCAATTGCTTGTTTTAACAGGCCATGTAATTCAATGTACAAATATAATTCAGATAAGCAAATAATAGCTCTGCCTATACATAATATCCAGGTTGGGCGGCCAGGAGGCGGTTAATTCGATGCTATAATGATTGCAAAGTTTTCATAAACTCGCTCTTTCGTCGGCCCTCATTTGGAAGTAGATTGTTGGCCGTGATATATTTAAGGCGATCATTACGGTTGCTAGAAAGCGATTTCGAATCCGATAATAGAAATAATCACTCACGCATGCTTGTAAACGGACCGTTTAATGCGCATTTTGTTTGTGAACACTTAAAGCACACTGAAATTAAATAAATCGGACAAAAACGAATCACTTGACTTTGATGGAATTGTTAAGCTAGGCTAAAATCTTTACCCAGATAGTAAAGAATTATCAAAAAAAAATGCACCTAGAATCGTACAAACTAAAGCACAAAATGCCTTCGCACCACTTCCAAGTCTGTTCCTTCGGTTATACATCTCATTTACTTTACTACAACAACATAGACATCGCGACTATTTTTTATTGTTTTTACCATCTCACGTTCAGTAATCTAATTAATTTATTTTGTTTTCAGTTAATTGAATGTCTATGGTATCTGCATAGTGTACACCTAGACACCAAGAGATATGCCGTTAACTACCATCAGTCCGAAATAAAAAAATATACACGAGATCGTCAAGAAAACAATCAGCGTGATATAGAAGCTGATCGAGCAAGCTCGGAGTTTGGTTCTGATTGCGTTACAGAGGCAAGAAATAAAAGAAATAATAGAGCAGCCATAATAAATACAGTCTTAAATAATCTAATTAGAGACGTGGGATGCTCTTTCTTTTGTCGGACTGTGTTGTGACTTTCTCGAACATGGAATGGATCGATTGAATCTATTTTATGTGCAGATTGGCAGTCGCTACGGAGAATAAAAAGTAGGTAAGAAACGATGTCTACGCATTATTTTTGTAAGAGATTTAATACATTAATAGGCACGTTTTTATTAAATTTTAAATGCTATTCTGCATTAAAATTTTGATGCACTTTCATAAAAATATTCAATTGTGGTTATTAGATGCACATTGCAGACGTGCAGCAAGTGATCATTCGGAGAACTTTATAGATATGGTCAGGTGCCATTTTAATTTTGGACTCGCATTACAGTTATACCTAATTTCTTGAAATATGAAACAATCATACATGTTATATAGGTAATATATTTTATTAAAAATATTTACATTCAAATTGGTGAAAATACGAATATGCACCTATGTCGGTTTCAATCTCGACCGAGCGCACACGAAACACAAATTCTATTCGAGCCAATTAAATTAATTTGCAATCATAAATATCATAAACTCGCACCAAAGTAGTGTACATTCCGTAAACGTATGCATTTAGCAGTATCATTAATATGATCATTTCAGTGTTAAATAATAACGTCGGCCGACTCCGGCAGCATATTCATTTAAATTTAAACCTTTATCTAGTTATTTATCCGGCGACCGAATGTGAACGTACCAAACCGCACCCGACCACAGTTTTGTTGCATAACATAAAGATACTTATGATAAACACACCATTTAATATTCCACATATTGTTTATCTATTATTATTCAATGAACCAAAACATAATAATATCCGATTGTGCTCCTCGATCCGGTTTCCAGTTTGTTATAACGTATAATAGAATGTGAATTATTTAGTTCGGCCGTGAAGTTATATTAATTAATCATTCCGATGGTTATTCATAACAAATTATTCCAACGCGAATTATTTATAATGTGCAATGTAAAGTAATCTGCGCATATTTGAAATTTTAAAAAACCTGATGGCGCTGCAATTGGATACGATGAATATTTTATTACTCTGCTGCAGATCGATGATGGAAAAATTGTGGAAATTCAGTTATGTCACTGAGCATTTTAGTAATTTTATTTTCGATGACATGGATAAATCATTTTGCAAATAACTAGAAAAGAAATTAGATTAACGTTTGGAATTGGTATGACGAATGTCGAGGACATTTTTATCACACATCTTATTTTTATTGTATTTCACGCTATATTAATTTATATACATACCCAGACCCTGTGGTGTCGATTCCAGCCAAGTCCGAATCAGCCAACTTTGTTGTCAAATTTCCAATTTATTAATCATAGATCTTAAATATAAAGTAAAAATCTCATGGATATATTACAACTATATTGGACAACTACTTGGTTGCCATCAAAAGTCCAGATTGTAATTAAAAGTATAAAAAATAAAAGAAAATTCTCTGTCCTAACAAGCATATTTTATTTCACAAAATGGGCTTGCCTTCGGATATATAACTGCATCATGCACCGTTCAATACCCACTGATTTCATATAAAAATCATCAGATGATTTGACGCCGATTTAAGCTGGAAGTAAAAACTTTAATCCTGCAATAAATAATGTAATATTAATATCGGAATGTCATCGTATAATGAATTGATGAACGCCCGCAGAATTGTTTCGATGTATTCTATGCAAATGTAGATTGTAGTGTTTGTCAGGCATTATAATAAATCTTTGTTTGCGATTTAATGAAACGCCACTATACCTACTCGTACTATTCGGCGGCAAATAACAAGCGGACCATGACTGCCAATATAATTTTACATCGGAATAACTAATTGGGATATTCGTACTATCGTAATATATCAGCCTTGTTAATGCTTTACAACAGATGAATAAATATTTGCATATAATTTGTTATATTATCATGCACTATACGCTCGAATTTAATATTACTACGAGCTTTAAATATAATAATATTACACGGGCCAGAGCGATATTTTATTACCGGCTCACAAATGACTTATTTACTTTGTAAATGAATATATGTTTGGATATACGGGGAAGATATAATTATAATATATGTTTTTGAATTCAATTATATATAAGAGACGTCATAAAGTTAATTTTATAGCGCCCGTAGCAAGTGAATGTAATGTAATTGAATTTTATATTTTTACTTGATGATACTAAATAGCTAAATATGATGAAGTATTTAAATAGAATAAAAAGAATAAATAAATTACAAACTAGTTTATATATATATATATATATATATATATAAATCTATTACATAAGTTTTACCTTTTAATGTATTAAATCTCTCACTAGTCTTTTTAACTTTGACCATTTTCTAAATAGTTTTCTTTTATAATGTGATTGTTTTGTTTCAGCCTCGTTGTCGTTGTGACTTAGTGTACGAAGTGTGAGTAACAAATTGTATTTTGTGAAGTGATAGAAGTCAAAATTCAAACAGACATGACATCAACAAGTTTCCGGCTAATGGCGATGCTGATGCTGACGCTAAGCCCGAACTGCCGCGGAATATCAGGTTAGTGCATTTGTTAACACTTCGCGAAAATGGGGAAGGTAAATAGTCGTAGATTATCAGTTATTTATTTGTTTCGTTAGGAATAAAATTATTTAATCGATGATTTATTTTTGGTGTATTAAAATAATAAACAGGTGTGTATGATGTAGTCTATTTGCACTAGAAGTTTGAAAATCTAGTATTCAAAATTGTTTACCTAATACGTGAACTCTAAGAATTTCAATTAAAAATGCTCTAAGTTGTATATTTAAATCGTCTGGAAATGCAGAGGGTTATATATAAACGTGCGAAAGAAATCTGCATTCCTGAAGGTTTTGGACTTCATGCTCGATTATACTTAATGGATCGGAACTTTCCTAATTATTTTGGAAAGAGTTCTTTATTATACTACAAGTTATTTAAATTATCAATACAAGTTTTAATAAAATTAATTATAATAGGAATACATTTAACATTTTTGCATATTTTATTCGAATAAAATTAAAGTAAAATTGTATTGAATTGAAGTAAAATTAATTAATGAATTAGAATTTTCAAAATATCGAATATGGTAGAATAAGTAAAAATTGGCATATTGAAATTTTGAACATAAGAATCACTAATTCATATTTCATTTAACCTCGACTCTTTAATTTACCCGAATCACTAATTCATATTTCATTTACCCCATTGAAAAACTAATGTCTTGTGTAATGTACACACAGAAGCTATACTATCGTACAATTAAAACCTATAGAATTTAATTAAATACACACAATCCCAAGGCGCGCCCTTAAGAAACGTGAAAATGGAGAGAAAATACATTAAGGTCAAGCGAATGAAATGTACATTCGTCAGTGTTTGTTCCTTCGTGAAAAAATATATGTTTCGCGGCCCAGGGCATTAGTCTTTTCCTGGGCTTTCTGGCAATTCCTGGGAAAGTTCTTAAATCAAACGTTATGTAACGTACCTTTGATTGTTCATTGTAATTATATACTCTTACCCACTTACATAAATATGTATTAGATTGATATTAAGAAAAGTCATTTTAGTCTCAATTTATTAATTGATCACTGAAAAATATTTTTTTGCTTGTAAAATCTTGTTCAAAAATTGGGAATTTGTCATTTTGAATAAACAAGAATTGAATTGAACTTAAAGGATCATAGTTTCAGAAGCAATAAACAAAATCAGATATTATATGTATAATAATATGTAGGTGTGAAAAATCCTCAAGTCATAAAAATGTCTTTAGGCAGATATTTTGCAACAAACAGACATGTCTATTTCTACAGAAGATTCATATATAAATAACTCCATCTGGAATTTAAAATTTCCTGTTTTAATTCCTTTTCCCACGTGAGCCCGATTCCAAGAAAATATTTTCAAAAGATCAGGCGTGGCTTTGCGCTCGGTGTAGAAGATTGAGTAGTTTATATTAACCGTTGTCAGTGAAATATTAAGGCGAAAACAGAAGGCGCAAAATAGCTATTATTTTATAACTACTAATTGAATAAGTTGCCCTCGCGTGTATTTGTTCTTTCTTCGCAATGAACGGCTTGTTATCATGCGGCGGTGGAGGCGGAGGCCCATGGAGGACGGAGGTGCACGATAATCACATTACGCCGACCGAGCAGAGTGAAAATATTGTGTTAATTTCTGCTCCGTTGCCTTTCGCCATCATTCGATTTGGAGAAATCCAGTAATTGATAGCAATTATGATTATGGATGTTAATTTTCAAACGAACCAACTGCTACGGTATTGATCAATTCTAAGTAACAATTTCTATGTAAAATGTCAGTATATCGAGCCTTACAATGACGTAGTTGAGTTCGAGTTAAAAATCATGGTATTTCCGAGTAGTCGTATCATGTAAATCGGTTTAGTTTAGTTTTAAGTCAGTTGTGTAAAATGTAAAAGTGATAATGAAATTAATAACTATATCAAATCTTTTTGTTTGATTAATACTGATCAACGTTTCCATATATTTAGTGATAGCAGATTTTACATATTTTGTTAGCAGCAGTTGTAAGAACCCTATATATTTATTGTTATTATCAGAGGGATCTCTGATTATATATATATATATATATATATATATATATATATATATATATATATATATATAATATTTATAGCGATGAGTTTCCGCAAACAAGAGTTGCCAACTATGTCCCCCGTATCATATTTCATTCGATATCTATTTATTCAATAAAAACGCTTGACTAAGAAAATCTCATTCCCGTAATGATTGATTTTAAGACAGTGTGTACTCAACAAAACGTTCCATACATCGAGGTATTATCTTTCAATTTCAGCTATTTGATTTCTATTCCGGTGAGAATTTCTTCCAGAATAATAGAACTATTTTTCTTGGCTTCGAATCCTGAAACCCATTTGTTTTAGTGAAACGAAAAAAAATATGTTCGAACTAAACTGAACCGCAAAATGTCGGTACGTGCCTCAGGCGAACTGATGTAAGTGTTTCTGAAACGATTGCAAAAAGGATTGTATTGGCCGAGACGTCAAAATATACGTGTAAAGGTGAATTGGATACCTAATGGTCTCACCAAGGAAACGTTTTACTTGATACAGTTACTACTATGTTAATTCAATAAGCGACATGTAGGTTAGACCTAATATTAACAAAGCACGTATTCAAAATAATTCGAGTAAATTTGAATCTGAAGTTCGAAAAATTATCATCCTAGAGCTATCCTCCGCCCTCATTAGGCGCTTTTATGCTGATGTTGGAATAACGTTCCCATTCAGCTAGTATTACATTTGGAAATCATCTCTTTGATCATTACTTTTATTGCATTTATCTAGAAGCTCACCGACATGCTTCCTTTAAGAACTGTATATAAATGTTTAACGAGTGTTCGTTCCATTTTGCATAGAAAGTTGGAGATTACATTTAATAACCCGGAAGGGCTTGTATTCAATTATTTTTTTTCGAGGATCTGCGAATATTATATCGAAATGAAATTCTCATTCTGCATTAAAAGCAAAGTCGGTGTACGTACGGGATTTCACGGAATTAAAAACACTGATCGATACTCGAGTATTTGATATTTAAATAGGAATTCATATTTTTAATAACTCGGTAAGAGATAATATATATATATATATATATATATAATATATATATATATATAATATGTATGTATATATAAGTACACATTACTCAATGCAGTCAATTTGCAATCTAATTTTTAAAGTTAACATTATGACCCAGTGTAGTGTGCTTTTCATTTTATAATGGTATCCAGTTAAAATTTTTTTTCTCATTTTTTGAAGCATTTTCTCAGTTATCTCATACCAAATACAGAAATTTCTCACGAGTTTTTTGTAGGCTTTCATTAGTGTCCAAGTGTCTGATCCACATGTCATATGGCAAATGTACCATTTTATTAATTTCTTCTGCAATTGTGTTTGCTTTTGTTTTTGAAAGACCACTGTGACGCTTGCCATGCTTTCTTTCATTTGTAATATTTTTTTGACTGTAATCCAAGCTTGAATAAATATTTTGACATCTGATTGCTTTACAACATAATCCTTTGTGTTCGGTGCAGTCCTCTCTTATTTACCAGGACAATTATGGTACGTAACGTGTAACACAAAACGCATTCATAATTATATCGTGTCGAACATACATTGCTGCATGTAATTCGATAACATATTATACACTTTTTTCACGGGTTATTCAATATTTTTGAATAATACATTTTTTCAGGCTGTAAATTGGTAATTCGATATTGGTACCGCACGGTGAACATTATAAATACCACGACTGAATGTACTAATACTAAATATTGATGTACAACCGTGGCCATTACGATGTTATGAATAAGTATTGAAATCAATACGTCTAAGAATTTTGTTTCCCTTGGATTATGTTACCTTATATAATAATACGGATATTTTCCAAATGTCAATAAGGGAACACGAGGTAGAGGTATACCTACTCGTACGGGGGTTCATATCTCATGCAATAATAACACGTTCATATTTTATGGGTTTATGGATAAAGAAAGGAAGTTCATATGAACGTGGATTGCGAATTCAAGTATGTACACATAAGGAAAGGTTGAAAAAATAATTGAACCTTTGTAGGCACAGGATTTTTTTACTGCTAACTGTTGTAAAATCAAAATCTCATATTTTTATTTGAAGTGTTATAGGTATTTTTATTACAACGTGTTTTATTTTCGAACATGTTAATTGCGGCGTTTAATATATAATAATTCTATAATCATTTAAATATTTGTTAAGAGATAGTAATTCATTTGTTAGTATAGAGTAATAATAGGTTCATCGTGAAATACTACTGCAAAATAAATGCAAATGTACTGAATTTTGTTATCTGAGGACAATTATTGTGGGTTTAAGATATTATTGGCAAATTTATTATTTACAATTTATTGTATTGGGAGTTGTTTTCTTCTATAATAAAATGGCGTAAATATTCTTGCCTTCAGATCCAGAACTGAAACTAAACGAAAAAGAGTAAATATATGAAAAAACTACATTTCTTACATTTCTTACATAAAATTTCTAATACAAATTACTTAATAATTTTTATGTTTGCAAATATTTAAATAGTTCAATATTAATTAGTTTATTATGCTATTGCTCGAGTTGTCCATGTTGCTATTACACTTACGTTTATTTCTGAATTTAGTCCAAGCACCGAGTATAGTCAATACCGTATATTTTCAAAATATTTCAAATGAACTATATTGCTTCAACAAACTTGAACTATTCAAAATACCGCACTCGCATCCGAAACTCTCAAATTGTTCGCCGTTCTGTCTCGTGTATTAACAATTTTCCGGCATGTTCTACAAACGAAAAGCGTAGAAAAAATCTCATAGTACATAATTTAAAATAATTTCGTAAAAGTTGTCTTGCTCAAACGCGCCGTTATGCGATTACTCGTACTTTGTGTGCCGTTGACGGTAGCCCGTACGCCTGCTCTCATCTCATGCGATACATTGTTTTGTATGTTTGTTTTTGA